GTTTTATCATTACGATTGTTTTTGATGAGAACTGGTAAAAATGACTATAGAGAACACTTTCTATCATAAAATTTTCTTGGATATATACGTATAATTAGCAATTAAAAATGATATACACTGTAGAAATGTATGAGAATGAAATATATATATATATATATATATATATATATATATATATATATATATATATATATATATATATATATATATATATATATATATATATATATAATATATAATTATTCGAATTGGAACATTTCAAACAAGTGTACTGAAACGTTTTGAAAAGATAAATAGACTTTCCCATTTCTAATCGTTTGTTTTTGATCTCAGGCTGAGAGAAGGTGTAATAGGTAAAATTAAAGAAAAAAATGATTGCAAACTGAAAGCTTTGAATTTCAAAGTGTGTTACATAATACAAAATTTCATCTAACTATTTTTTACACAAACTAAAGAATCTTAATCGGTGGTAACAATACCTTGTTCTTTACGCAAAATCTTGTACAACACCATTGTTAATTTACATGAAAAATCTGTTTTAAATAGAATACCTCAAATTGAAAATACGCTGAAGAGTAATTTTGTGAATCACATCAATATCACCATTTCTCAAACATGTTTCTGAGCGTTTAATTATAATTATTATAATTACTTTTAAGAAATGGAAAGATAAACACTCAAAACATAAATATATATTTCTGTTATCAAAATTAAATTATTTCAAATTAGAGGGTAAATTCTAATCAAAGAAAGATAACTCTATCATCACTGGAAAATAATTTTTAATTTAAACAAAAAAAATACAACATATTTAGATTAACAAAAAAAATCTATAAAGCATTATTGTTTTTAAAAAGGCAATATGCCAATATGGACGGATGACAAAAAACTAATAAATAAACATAAATGATGAATAAATACGCAAATTCTATAACAAATATCTTTTTTAAAAAATAAAAATATTATGCATACATTCCGTCGTTTTTTCTCTCAAAATTTTATCATTCACCATTTGATTTTATTTCATTCATTTTTAATTGATCTTAAATAAATACAACAAAAATAAGTAACAGAATAAAAAAAAAAAAACAACGTGTCAATCATTCATTACATTCATTACTAAGTGGCTTTTTAGAATTAGGAATCAAGCAATCTTTTGGTTTAAACACTAAAATTTGATAAATCTGAGAATGAAATTTATGGAGATAACGAACATTATTCAAGCTCAAAAGTCCAATAAACTGTACAAAATAGGAGCAAAGCAAACACAGATCCTCCAAAAATATATTTTCGATTTTTTCATTTTACAAAGACCATTTTCCGTAAAGCTCATAAAATCATATTCAGCTTTTTTCTGTTTTAAAACAAATTTAAATGAACGTTTTGAAAAATAATTAACACAATCAAGTACAACTTAAACAAAAGCTTTAAAAAATATGCAAAACAAAATTAAACAGGACAAAATGATTATACAATAAATTCACATTAATACACCTTTTCATCATTGATTTTCATCAACGATACTTTTCTGCTTAACATAACATGAAGTGCAATATTAGTCCCAACTGATTCATTAATACATTCTATTGAATTATTGAAGATGAAAATATGTCTGCAAAAAGATTGTTATTAGTCTTTCTAGAACAGGAACATAGATTGTGTTATTCAGATGTGTTCAAAGAGGGATTACTCTATCACAGAGACGTGAAAAAAAATCATATGTATTGCAGGTCAACTAAATGTTCAACAGAGCCCTAAAAATTAACTGTCGTGATTGAGAAACTTAAGACATTACGTCACCACACGTTAATAGTGGTGTAATTGAAATGTGGACACTAAAACAGTAAAATTTCAGAACTTTGCAAACATCATTAGAATCTTGAGTTTTTATGCGCTTTATAAGACATTTCCTCATAAACTTATGAGCACACTTTTATTCATATGTCAAATCCATACCGGTATACCGGTATACCCCGGTAAACTAGAAATAAAAGATACAACAGAGGCTGATAATTCTTTTTTTTTTCAAATTTCGATATTTTGATAGAAAAAGACGTAAATGGTACATATAACATAACATTAAGACTTTATGATGAACGTATTGACCAACTTTTCTATCTTCAACTTTTCTTATTTAAGTCCTTAATAAATCTTTATCACCTATATATGGAGCTTATATTTTGTCAATTAATTTGATACGCAATAGCATGCGCCACTTACGATCAATTTCAAAACGAGGCAAGCTTTGATATAAAGTTCATTAAACAAGGATATCAATAGCTGCCCTAGAAGTCATCATTTTGGAAGTTCTATGGTCGATACAATGACAGTATCAGCAAATACAAACTACCCTTAAGTCAAATGCTGAAGGACATTTTTCATAGTTATTGTTAAACCCTTTTAAATTAAAAAATCACTAGTAGCGTAGGAGAAAATGCCTATCAAATGCGCTATGGCTCTTTCTGGGTACTGTTGCGGGCTGGGGTGAGGTGCGGGGGGGGGGGGTGCAGAGATTCAAAATTAAAAAATACTTGATACACAACATATGAAGAGGGTCAAGTGATGCAGTGCTGGATCCAACTGTAGACACATGTATACTTTTTTTCTTCTATTTTTGAGTATATGGACGAGAACTTATAAAAACTTTCCCCCTCAGGCTTAATCCTTTTCATACAGGCGTAAGATAAATAATTATAAACAATTTTTCGCAAAAGGCTCCATGTCGGTTATAATAGAAAATAATTTACAGTTATTTCAAAAAGAATCATTAATTTTATAAAATTGTACAATCAGCTTAAGTTTTTAGTCTGAGTCGTAAGTTCTTTTGTAAAACAATCCCCTGATGTATATGTTTTCCACATTGTGTGAGCTGCTTTAGTCTTGAACTGAACATTACAATCATGTATTTTGTTTCTGCAGTAAATGTAAATAGAGAGCGAATTCAATATTAGGTTATATTTTACACTATCCACAAACTAGAGGTACTGTGAGCAATGGGCTCACTAAATGATACCCCCCGCCTCCCATATGTGTATAAATGGCAGTGTCCATGTTTTGCTATGGGAAACCCAAAATATGTATCGGTTCAAAAAGTAAAATAGGAGGTGCACAATGGCAATATGTAATAAAGATTCTGTGAAAGTTTCATCAAATTTCATTCAGTGGTATAAGAGGAGTTGCGGATAAGAGATGGGTACCCCAAAGCGTAACAGACGGACGGACGGACGGACGGAATTAACGATTACTATATACCCTCCCGCTTTTCAAGCGGGGGGTATAATAAAGGACCAAAATATGATTATAAAACAAAAGGTATATGTAAAGACTACAGGAAACCAGAGAATTACATGTACCCTTTATCGATCTTTCATGTAGTATTAAACTCCACACTTGGGATAAGGAATTTGTTTAAATCATATAAGGCGGTTTTTTTTTATATCAGTTAAGACTAATATCATAAAACTAAGATCTTTCTTTTATATACAGAAAGAACCGCTGTACTTAATTTCCGACATTTCGTTATTTTATTTCCGACAATTACTCTTTTTTTCCCGACATTTATTTTTCTTTTTATTTCCGGAATTTTTGCTAGGTACCTCTCCGGCAATTTAATGTTTAGCAGGTACATGTACGTAGAAAAGGAATTTTGAAAAAAATTATTATACACAACATTTTTAATATAAAAATTTTGTATATATACATCTGTACATGAAGCACTAAGTCCAGTTAACATAATTTTTTTCATTCATTTTGTTCACTAAATTAAATATCAAATACTGCGCCGAACTTATGTCCAAGACATTTGATTTACTAAACAGTCTATAATTTATTCTTTAAAATTTTCCATTACCGAAATTTAAATCAATTGCGTTTCATGTATAGATATCAGAGATTTAAAACAATGACCGATTCTTATCGACTCGGAATTTAAATATCAGACACAGTTTTAATTCAATTAGTTTGAATTTAACTAATAGAAACGTCGGTATATTTAAGTTCAATATCGGTAAAAATTTTAAACATAAACATAAATATCAAATCTCATGTAAATTATTATACGCTTAATCTAGTATTTTTAAATTTTAGCTCAGATTATGATACGCCATATTTAGCTTTAAATATTCAAATAAAGACTAGTATACGATTATACTTATTATAAATGTCGCAGTTTTGAAGTGTACGCATGAATATTTTGTTCCTTAGCATAATTTATTAATTTAAAAACTTCAAATCTATTGATATATAAAGCTAACACATGACCATTAGGTTCACCGACCATTCAATGACAGCGCCATCTGCCGCGGGCTCTACCTGTGGGTACCTGTCAGGTAAACAAATACGTCACACCCCATTGTTTTATTAGCTATACACACCGACAGATTTCACACCTTGAATCGTACTAATTCACACAAAGTAAATTCTAAGGAAAAACAAACACTTGCACAATAATTGTGGCATTATTTTTAAAGAAATTATGGTCCTAAACAGCAATGCTCAAAGCACACTAAACGAGTAGATTCTTGTCTCGAGATACGTGTATGTTGTACAAAAAATAAAACACAATAGGGTAAATCCTTCTTATCATATAGTATAAACTGATTCTCTTTAATGTCATATGTTAAAGTCAAGATTAAAACATTTTGCACCACCCGGACCTTAAAACGTAGGGGGACCTTTTCTTATACGGGCCGGACCTTTTCTTATAAAAGGCGGACCTAATATGTTATCGTATTTGGTCCGGCCGGACCTTTAAACGAGGCGGACCAAATATTATGCGACACCGGTCGACAAGCTTACTCCTCTAAAGCATATGATACCATCTTGTCCATGTTTGCTCTCTTCTGATTTGTATGTTTTCAGTAGATTTGAGCTTAGGAATCGTTCTTTACTTCCATGTTTAATTACACAAAATTTTGATGATGTGAATTCATTTAAAATATATTTTACTTTCAATAAAAATACGTGACTGAAAATGTTCTCTAAATTCATGAAATGTCAACACTTATTACAAAAATACTCGAAAGAGACAACCGGTTTTGTAAAAATTGTTCAGTAAAATTTTCCGTGTTTTTTTTATTTTAATTTTTCCGATCATGACAAGGAGCACACGGTGGGTCTGACCGGTCAGCAGGGGATGCTCACTCCTCCATGGAACCTGATCCCACCACTGATGTTTTAGAGGTCGGTGTTTGCTTTGTTCCTATTTTGTATTGTTCTATGTACTACGATATTGAATATTACTCGTTATCTCCATATCCTTCATAAAAGATGAAATGAATATCTTAAACGAAAATTGTTCAATCTACCATTCATTCTTACTTAAACATTACGCCTGCGAAAAGTAATTGGTTTGAACCCATCATTTAGTTCCACCACTTCTTCGAGATTTTCTCCATCCGTTTGGTTTGCGTCGTTCACCTCCAGAATTTCGGCCGTTTCTTGCTTTCCCTTTTTAAAATTTATGATGTATTTTGTATTCTTCTCCTTGTTTTTGTTACGTGTCACCAACTGAAAAACAAAAAAAAAAATACGTAGTTAAAAAGTGAAGTATTGTTCATTAGCATTGCATCGCAATCTTATTACCATTATCATCAAAGCAAAAACATTTTTTATTCCGCTAAATAGTGGTACTAGTATGTATTTTTCAACCTTTCAAGGGATTATTAATCAGTCAGCTCAAAACCCCTTCAATAGTGTAATGGAGTAAATCTTTACCTGAAAGTGTGTTTTTATTTTCTGTATCCTTGTTTCTTTCAATTCTTTCGGTCTGCATCCAGTAAAACACGTCAGACAATAAAACACTGCCATCAAAATCAATGTGAGTATAATGAGACCGATTGTAATAAATATATTTTGCAATAAGGAGACACATGTGTAATCTCCAGAAAGTCCTGTACCCCTTGGGCAAGCATCGTAACAGACATGATCATATGAGAAATGTTTCGCGTTGTGACAATCAGATTCCTCAATACAGGTTGTGCCATTTGACACATAGTTGTCAGGACATACTGAGTAGCACGTAACACGTGGCTTGGAAGATCCGAAATTCTTGTAAGTTATCGGATGACTCGGTGGACATTCATCAGCACACATCGCGTTCACAATCACCTTTTCTGGTGGACATTCCTGGACACAATGACTGCCATCTAGGAAAAACGTAGGTGAACATCTATTTGTACATCTTTTGCCATAATCAGTGTGTTCGAGATATGCATGGTTTGGACATTTATATATAGATCGGCAAACACTACCAACTATAAGCTTATTATCAGGACATTTCTCAACACAGGTCCCTTTGTTTTCCATAAGAAGCAAATGATGAGGACATTGGTCATGACAAAATATCCCTTGTTTGGCATTTTGGAGTAATGAATTTGGATTTCTGCAAGATTTCACACACGCCTTTTTCTCAATGTATTGTTTATCATGAGGGCACTTTTTATCACAGACCTTGTTATCAACAATTACAAAATTGTTTTCACACGTGCTTAAGCACTTTTGGGTAATTATGTCTGTGTATGGATGTGATTGTGGACACTCCAGTCTGCACGTACCAAGATGGTTCCGAAAACCGGATGGACATTGATCGAAGCAGTTCTGTTTGAATTTAAATGTTTGATACGGACAGGAATACACACAGGAATGTTTCCCCTTGCTTGATGTATAATTAAGTGGTCTATCGTTTGGACAAGACTGGACGCACTTATTGCCAAGTTCAAGCGTATCCGGAGAACAGTGGGAAACACATGTAAAATTTAAATCAAATGTGTTCACAGGGCATTTACGTAAGCAATAATGTTTATCTATTTTCTGGTTGTTTGAAACTGTGGTTACGTTTTTAAATCTGTACTTTCTTTCTTCGGCTTTACATTCCTGAACACAGTATCCATCATCCTGAAATTTGGCCCCACTGGGACAGATTTTATAACATGTTTTGTTAAGCGTTAACAAAGAGGTGCATGAATTCATACATTTAAAATATAAACCCTCGTGAAGTTTGAAATCACTTGAATCTGGGCATTTGTCATAACATGTACTGTTAAATTCGAAATTCTTATCATCTGGACACACGGAGACGCAGAGAGACTCATTGTATATGTACGTGTTAGCAGGACAGTCATCATAGCAGGTGTAATAATTTCCTGTTAAAAAAGCATAATTTCTATTTTCTGGACATGATGTGGTGCATGTTTTGTTATAAAGATAATTCGCTTCCTTTGGACATTCTTTGACACAGTTATCAAGGTAATAGAGACTATCTGATGGACAATCTGGTAGACAAAAATGATGGTATATTTTCTTTGTGTCTCTCCAGTTCAAACTTATAGTGGTAAAATTGGTGAATTTGTACTTCCGTTCATCCGTACAATTTGCAACGCATGTTTTGTTATTTTGATAACGAGCTTCAGTTGGACAAGAAGGCACACAATCCGACTTGTTATAAACGAATGTTTCCGAAGGACACTTTGCAATGCATTTGTAATGACTTCTTTCGAGTTCTCTAAAGCCGAATGCTTCTGGACAGGTTTTGAGGCAAGTGCGATTAAAAATATGGTTTTGGTCTTGAGGACATTCTCTAACACAATTGTTTCCAGAAATGAAATATTGTTTTGGACAGCTTTGAACACAAGAATAGTCTGTCTTCTGGTAATAAAATGTAAGTTCTGTACGTATCTTAATTGCATATTTTAGCTCGTCTTGACATTGTGCAACACATGTTCCATTACTTTTGTATTTTGCCTCATGTGGACAATTTTCCATACATATAGTTTGATTGAAAATCAGTGGAGAGTTTTCGGGACAATCTTCAAAACATTCATAGTGAGATAGGTAAACGTTTAACTTTCGATACTTTGCATCCAATGGGCATTGCTTGTAACAAGTTTTATTATGCATAAAATGTTCTTCTTTTGGACAGGAGTGACGACAATTCGTCTCATTAGAAATGAACTTGTTCTGAGGACACGATTCCACACACAGATAGTAATTGCTGTAATCAATATTAAACCTGTGAGACGCTGGACAAAGCGAAAGACAGGAGCCATTAAAAGCAAAATGTGAATTTTGAGGACACGTTTTTAAACACTTCTTTTCGAATTCCAAGTTGTACTTGATGATAGAATTAGTTTCCAAATTGCAGGTATCAACACACATAAAATCTGCCTTACCAAAGTTTTTTATAGAATTTATAAAAATTCTTTCTATGTTTGGATACATCAAAGGATGCGAAAAAGGACAGTTTTCTACACAAGTATTGTTTAATAGATGTTTTCCTTTAGGGCAAGCACTGACGCAATATTGTCCATCCAATACATCATTTTCTGAACAAGAGTCTGAGCATTGAGAGATAGAATTATATTCTGTGGTCAAGGTTAGTATGAATGGATTGGAGGGAGGGCATGTCTCATAACATGTTCTATTGTATAAAAGTGGAGACTTACTCGGACAACTCAGATGACAAACTTTATTAACTGCATCTTCAAAAGTATACGGAGGGCACTGTTGCAAGCAATGTTTGGACCTTGATGCTTGAAATATAAATGGATGGGACACTGGGCAGGAACTTAAACATGTTTTGTTTCCGGTCATGCAAGCTCCTTCACAATCTGCTGAAACCACGAAAGACTGATTGCTGGGACATTTCAAAATACAGTTGTTATTAAACTTAACAGTATACTCGGGACAAGTCTTTAAACAGTTCATTCTGTAACACATGGGAAAGTTTTCCGGACAAGATGCGCGTTGGCATTCAAAATCATGCTCTATGGTACAAAATATTCCAAGCTCTGTTTGGATTTCTTGTGTATTGATAGGACATTTGTTGTAGCATGTTTGTCTAAACATGGACAGTTTCTGTGGACAGGATTTCAAACATCCACTTTTGTTTTCTACATTTACCTCTGATGGTAGGCAAAATTCAGTCGATATCTGAAAGTAATTATACTATTATTAATCTGAAAGGTTTGTACGGTAGGTTTTTGTTTGAAAATATAAATGTGCTCAAAATGTTGCTGAGAAAAAAAAAAGGCAACCTTTTCGAAGGCCTTATAACATTTTTTGTTACAAATTCCATTAACTATGGGCGGTACCAACTTTTATCCAGGTTCATTTTATTTAGGTGGTTTTAACTTAACAAGTTATTGAAAAAGCAGCTGCCACTGATATAAAAAAGCCTTGTAGCAACCTCTAATGATAAAACGCCGCTTAATGATACAAATAGCATTAAGCGTTGCAATTGCAACGCTTAATGCCATAAATTATTGCTTTAATAGCTGACATTATCAACCGCTAATGCTAAATCGCCGCTTAATGACAGAATTATATCATTAAACGTCACAAATGCAGTGCAACACCGACGCTTAATGAAACATGCAAATATCGATATATTCGACGCTTAATGATACACACTGGTGTATCATTAAGCGTTGCAGTTGCAACCCTTAATGATATAAAATTAAGAAATCGCTTGAAATGTCTAAGAGAAACACACATCCACCTTTCCTGAACAATGAGATATCACTTGTCAAAATATTTATTTATGCCCTTGTGCTATATAAATGGTAATTATTGAAGTTTTTCTGTGTTTTCTATCTAGTCAAGGGAACGTCGTTTAGCCCCGGATGTTTAAGAGACAGATAGTCAGAGAGCTAGAAAAAAGAGATACAAACAAAGGGATAAATAAAATGATATTCAAATCCTTTATAAGAACCATTATTTTTGAAACTGGAAATACAGAAGCAAACAAGCAATTTAATTCTTTTTAAATTTATACAATGATTTGAATAGTCAACGTGAAATATTTATATGTTTTAGATTTGATACAGCTTAACACATATCACTGTTAACGTTTCAGATATACGTATCGAGATTTTCACTATTGCTTCGTTTCTCCAAATTCCGAAAAATAGGGACATAAATATTGACAATTTATGTTTAAGGATATATAACAAAGAATACAAGTACATGTAATACTTAGAATAATATATATTGTGTTGAGAAAAAGGTTCATTTATGCTTTAATAGTAAGCCGTGTTACTTGAATACATCACTGTTGCATGATTATTTTAGAATCAATTTTGAATTCTAGTACGAGGGTTAGAAAAGTTCGCGGACACATTGATTTACGGAAAATCTATTGTGTACTTTAATGTATGACCTATGTCTGAATAAATTCCTACATTTTGTTTATTAGTATGTAAAAATCAGGTTCAATTACAAAACTCTTGAAAATTTACAACGATTGTTACCAAGAGATCATGGGATTCACGGAGCAATCACATGACGTAAGGCGACGAGACAAAAGGATTTTAAAACGTTAAGCTTTGTTGCAGTTCATTAAATATTTCATTTTTTTCATATTTTTCCTATTTTTTCCTACTTTAAAATTGAATATCTATATCAAGACATGTTACTTTTCCACTGTGTCTTTTTTATTGATTCGGATATTATTGAGATCTATTTAAAAGTATATGCAAGTAATCGATCAGGTATGGGAAATATGCAAAACCATATAGGCACAACGTCCATGCAATAAGGGGGTATTGACGTATCGATGGAGTTAATCATTCAAATTGTTAATCCTTACATTCTTATAAAGCTACAACCATTTGAAAACTTTTGTCCTATGTATGTGAAGGAAATTCCCGGCAGCATCTTGAACATTTTAATCCCTTTTTTAGACATTTTCCTGTCTACACACATAATTTTTACGCAGTGCAGTGCTCCATGACGCTCAATGACGTTCCGATTTTTGGCTGTGTTTTTAAGCGTTGATCATTTATAAATGGCTATAAAACAGTCATCAACCCTCCAATTTGATTCAAAATTTCTCCCAGTGACGTTTCATGAATAATTTAGCGACAGGTAAAATATCACAGATCTCTGCGCTACAATTGTGTAATTTTTAATTTTGATAAAGAGTCTTTGTGATGAAAACGTGCCAAAATGTAGCATGCTCCGTGAAGCAAGTTTTATCAAAATAAAACAGCTGTATATTTTTCAATGATCACCGGAGAGCACCAATTTTTTGTACATTTATTGGAAAATAGGTTAAGATTTTATCTGAAAAGTTTGACCGATTTCGTGGAAATAGCGCACTCACAATAGAACTTGTCCGCGAACTTTTCTAACACCCCTCGTATTTATCAAATTACAATATACATAATGACTGTTGAAGAGACTGTTTTTTTAAAATTCTAAATATTTCATTTGTAGTATATTTTTTTTCTTTCGATATATAACACTAAGTTTACATCTGACTAATATTAAAATGAAATAGATTTAAATAAATATAATCGGACAACTTTAGACAATAAATTCTCTTTCAACTTAAGAGTTCCGTGTATTTATTTGTTTCTGTCTTGAAGCTGGAGATTTAATTTTTTTATGATACCGATTGCTATTATCATGTTGTGACAAAAATACCCCGAAAATGGCCTTGAAGTTACGTCATATTTTACATCATCAAAGGGAAATAACCAGAAATTTATGATTTTGCGATTTTTAGAATTATCGTTCTTAAATTTTGACTTCAACGGAACGAGTCAGACTTTGATGAATAAAGTCAAAGATTGGTAATTTTACCTAAATTTTAAAGAAGTTTCACTTCGATGTTCGTATAATTCTTTTTTGAGCTAGTTCTCACTATTATGTTCATTTCTCCGTACATCGGACACAAATTAACCATGCATCGGACACTATCCGATGCAAAGGTCAGCACTACCATTTTCATAGAGAACCCAGCTGATAGCTGTTTTTTTTTTTTTTGCAGAAAAAGAATATAAAAACTCTATATTTTCAGTCAAAATACAAGTTATCGATGTATGACGTATGGAATTTAACTCAATTTATTTCTACTAACCAGAGTATGATAAACTATGAAAAAAAGCGCGAATTACCGCATTATAAGCATTTTAAAGCATTTCTAAGGCAGAGTGAGGTCTCTTGAATCATTCTACATTTGTGCAACGATATCGTCAATTAAATTCAAGTTGAGGGCTATTTCTTAGATAATAGATAAAAATATATCCATATCAAGCATTTTAAAGCACTTTGATAAAGGTATGATATTTTTCCGGTCAAAATACCGTCTGTCCGATGCATGGTAAACAATATCCGATCCATTGTGAATTTTGAGTTATTCCTAAAAACTCGATTTTTGAGGATATTTTCTCAATAAAGGGCATATAATTGTGTCCCAAATTAATATTTTAATCACAACATAATTGTTAAACTCCATTTTGATAATTTTCCGTCGGTAGCGATATCGCTAGAACTTGAAGGACAAGGGTATCCAATGCATGGTGAATTCACCCTATATGATATTCAACTTCATTTCTAACAGATAAGTTGTATTCAAGCTGAGTCTTTTGATTTGTTTCTTGATTATATGGCATTTTAATTCTTAATGCAGCGAAAGATAATTCACTTTTAAGCACTGGTACTTTGTTTCCATAGTACATGTTACACTGCAAAGTAGCAATTATACCCAATTTTTCTTATGGTTTTGGTGTTGCAAGGTTCTAAGGATGCATATTAGCCAGTCTTGAATTTTCATGTTTTTCCTCAAGACAGTATAACATTAACCCAATCTTAGTTACTGGTTTTGCATGATTTCACTTTGTTACCATGGCAACCATAAAAGTTATTTATAGAATGATATTGCTTATACTTATATACTTAAGGTCAAATATTTTCATTGTTCATCTTAAGTCGTTGATTGAGTTTGAGCATGTAACACCTATCATTAGTGAATACGGAGTGTTTTTCAACATATTTCAGCATTTTAAATGTATCCAAATGTACCCTTGGTTACCACTTACTCAAGGTGTCATGTTTTTGTAAAAATGGTTTGTTTGCTTTTTCTAGTGTTTATTAAGCCACAGTCAAGATTTAAAAGTGGCTGAAAATCTCGATTTTCAAACTTTTCCGGCTGTTGCCATAGCAACCGATACACCTGGCAACGGAATTTTGTTTGATATTTGTTTCTGGTGTCAAATACTAAGCATGGATGAAGTTTCACTAAAATCGGTGACCATGTGTGGAAACGAAGTTTAAGTGGTTACAGAGAAAGGCTATTAAATCGATTCCATATGGTCACTAGCTCATCTGATTCTATACATAAAAAGTAGCACAAATACAAGGAAAGAAAGAAACACATAAGTCTTTCTGTGTGCTGTCTAGTTGGCCAAAATAAGCACGAGCTAGAGTTTTTATTGCAATGACAATTAATTTTCATTTTCTATCGTAATAAAAAAAGCAATAATTTGATTGGAAATAGTTACTTTAAGACCCTGGGTAGCACATGTAAAGATGATAAAAAGAAACGTAAGTTGCATATAAAGCAAGTCTGTGGCAAAATTTTCCTAAAAAGGGCCTCAAAAATGGAGAATAAAAAATCTAATCTTCCCAAAAACATTAAAGAAATATTTCACTTAAGTAGCGTTCTTCTCTGGTTTCTGAGTAGATGGAATATTCAAAGTATATTTGTTGATATGTCATATATTTAGATGTAAGAGGTTTAAAAGACCATATTTTTCTTTCCTCATCACAATTATACAACTTGAAATAGAAATGGTAAACTGCGTTTGAAAACTAGCAGGGACTATATTTTTGGCGTAATGGTGGCGTATGAAAATATCTTCTTTTCTGCCTCTCAAAATTATTATAGAACATTGAATTTAGTTATAATTTTTACGCAATCAAAGACTAGATGAAATTTTCAAATGTAAGTTAAATTAATAATAAGGGACTAAAGTTTCAAAATATATGAAATAAATAAGATTTTTCACACATACTAGAACTACGCTTGCTTTTAAATGCTCAAATCCAAGTACAGATTTGAGCCAAAAATCCGTAAAAAGTGTTATCTTAGTAAACGATCAAAACTATTAGTTTTTGTATCATTTTGTACCTTTATGTGTCAACTT